AGTGTCTGGCCTGGTGGCAAGCTAATGAGCAGGTTGAGGTGGATACACCAGTGATCGACGATTCTGCACGTCAGGCCTTAAGCCTACGTGACATTTGCATGATTGATGGTTCTTGGACCAATGTTGATCAGTTCTCCGGCTGTGGATGGGATTGGAAGGATAATACGGGAAATAGTCAGCTGATGGGGTTGCGTAATGTGTGTAGAGTGGAGTCGGCTTTGCATTCTGAGCTGGAAACACTACGGTGGGCAATGGAGAACATGCTTCAACATTCGCCATCAGAGCTTTGGGACGGACTGCAAGGAATTAATAGCAATGCTCACGGACCCCTGCAAATGGCCGAGTTTTTCGACGGAACTGGAGAGGATCACGACGCTGAAGATTTGTTTTCCAGATTTCAAGATTTATTATGTTCCCAGAGATCTAAATGCGGTGTCTGACCACTTAGCTAAGACAGCCCGATCATTTTATCGTGATCTTTTGTATGTTGGTTGTTCTATTCCGGTCTGGATTCCCAGACCACCTCAAGCTTGAGTAATAGATCAGCCTTTAGTTGTCAAAAAAAAAAAACTCTAGTATTTATAATTCGGACCATGACTCTCGTTTTTTTAAACACAGGTGTATAAGAAATGTCAAATGGGCAGGACAAACAAAAAATGTCATAATAATCTGATTGACTATAAAGTGATAATTTGCCAAATCTTCTTTATTTCTTTCCCAAAATATATTTATATTCCCTTTAAAGCAGTCAGTACTCGACTCCCGTTTGCAGAAATCCTGGACAAAAAACAAGGGCTTATTTGACAAAACAGTGGTATTAAATTTTTTTAAAAAATTAAAAAAAAAAATCCGAGAAACCCTAAAACCCTTGCTCGTCTTCACTCTCCACTGCATAAGCCGACACAACCAAACCAAAAAGACAGGGAGAAGAAAGCGAAAACGAAAATGAGCAACCATTGCTTACACCTCTCTCCCAATCACTCCTCCATCTTCACCTCCTCAAACCCTAGATTCCTCTCCCGCTCCTCCCCCATCAACTACCGACCAAAACGCTCCTCTTCAACCTTCCTCCCATGCCTCCTCAACCCAAAACGCCCCATCCTCACTCGAATCCTCAACTCACTCAACCCCGTCTCAGATCCCGACAACAAGACCAAACCTTTCTCCCCCGAGATCGTCGGAAAGCGAACCGATCTGAAGAAAATCATGATCCTCGGCGCCGGCCCAATCGTAATCGGACAAGCCTGCGAGTTCGATTACTCAGGAACACAAGCTTGTAAAGCCCTAAGAGAAGAAGGGTACGAAGTCATCCTCATCAACTCCAATCCCGCCACCATCATGACCGATCCTGAGACAGCTAACCGCACTTACATCGCCCCCATGACTCCCGACCTCGTCGAGCAGGTTATAGCTAAAGAAAGACCAGACGCTCTCCTACCAACCATGGGCGGACAAACCGCGCTAAACCTCGCGGTTGCTTTAGCAGAGAGCGGGGCCTTGGAGAGATATAACGTTGAGCTGATTGGTGCCAAGCTTGATGCTATCAAGAAGGCGGAGGATCGTGAGTTGTTTAAGGATGCCATGAAGAACATTGGGTTAAAGACTCCGCCTTCAGGGATTGGGAACACTCTCGACGAGTGTTTCGAGATAGCGGAGAGGATTGGTGAGTTCCCTTTGATTATTAGGCCTGCGTTTACCTTAGGTGGGACTGGTGGTGGGATTGCGTATAACAGAGAGGAGTTTGAGTCTATCTGTAAAGCCGGTTTGGCTGCGAGTGTGACGAGTCAGGTTCTTGTGGAGAAGTCTTTGTTGGGTTGGAAAGAGTATGAGCTTGAGGTTATGAGGGATTTAGCTGACAATGTTGTTATTATTTGTTCTATTGAGAACATTGATCCTATGGGTGTGCATACTGGTGACTCCATCACTGTGGCGCCTGCGCAGACCTTGACGGATAGGGAGTATCAGAGGCTGAGGGATTATTCTATTGCGATTATTAGGGAGATTGGTGTTGAGTGTGGTGGGTCTAATGTGCAGTTTGCTGTGAATCCTGCTGATGGTGAAGTTATGATTATTGAGATGAATCCTAGAGTGTCTAGGTCTTCTGCTCTTGCTTCAAAGGCTACGGGGTTTCCTATAGCTAAAATGGCGGCTAAGTTGTCTGTTGGGTATACTTTGGATCAGATTCCTAATGATATCACGAGGAAGACACCGGCGAGCTTTGAGCCTTCCATTGATTATGTTGTCACAAAGGTTCGCTTCTCTTTCTTTCCTGTGCATCCTTTTAACTCTGTTTGTGTTGCGTTGAGATTCTCTTGACTTTGAAGATTTACATAGCTATTAGTAATATCCAGTTATTAGAGATTTTTACATATTGTGCTCAATATCTTTTTGTTTCTTTAACATGCAGATTCCTAGGTTTGCTTTTGAGAAGTTTCCTGGATCGCAACCTTTGCTGACTACTCAGATGAAATCTGTTGGGGAATCTATGGCTCTTGGTCGCACATTCCAAGAATCTTTCCAGAAAGCTCTGAGGTCTCTTGAGTGCGGTTTCTCAGGATGGGGTTGTGCAAAGATTAAAGAACTAAACTGGGACTGGGATCAGCTAAAATACAGCCTTAGAGTCCCAAACCCAGACAGAATCCATGCAATATATGCTGCCATGAAGAAGGGTATGAAGGTTGATGAAATCCATGAGCTGAGCATGGTAGACAAGTGGTTCCTGACACAGCTTAAAGAGCTCGTGGATGTGGAACAGTATCTCATGTCTGGACCACCCTTGTCAGAGATCACAAAAGAAGACCTTTACGAAGTCAAAAAGCGTGGGTTTAGTGACAAGCAGATAGCTTTTGCTACAAAGACAACTGAGGAAGAAGTCCGTACCAAGAGGATTTCTTTAGGAGTTGTTCCTTCTTACAAGAGAGTAGACACATGTGCAGCAGAGTTTGAAGCACATACACCTTACATGTACTCTTCGTACGATTTTGAATGTGAGTCAGCACCAAACACCAAGAAGAAGGTTTTGATTTTGGGAGGAGGGCCAAACCGTATTGGCCAAGGAATTGAATTTGATTACTGCTGTTGCCACACATCTTTCGCCTTACAGGTCTGTCTCTAGATGATCTAAGTGTCTTTCTCCAGCTTTGTTTTGCTTAAAATTACTAACATGTTTAAACTTAATTGCAGGATGCTGGGTATGAAACTATCATGTTGAACTCAAATCCTGAGACTGTATCAACAGATTATGATACCAGCGATAGGCTCTACTTTGAGCCCCTCACAATCGAGGACGTTCTCAATGTTATTGACCTTGAGAAACCTGATGGAATAATCGTGCAGTTTGGTGGTCAAACTCCTCTGAAGCTAGCTCTCCCAATCAAAAACTATTTGGACAAGCACAAGCCCATGAGCTTGAGTGGTGCAGGACCTGTTCGCATTTGGGGTACGTCACCTGACTCCATTGATGCTGCTGAAGACAGAGAAAGGTTCAATGCGATCCTCAACGAGCTGAAAATTGAGCAGCCCAAGGGAGGCATTGCAAAGAGTGAAGCTGATGCGTTAGCCATAGCGAAGGAGATAGGCTACCCGGTTGTGGTAAGACCTTCTTATGTTCTAGGTGGACGAGCAATGGAGATAGTTTATGATGACAGTAAACTCATAACCTATTTGGAGAATGCTGTTGAAGTCGACCCAGAGAGACCTGTTTTGGTAGATAGGTATCTCTCTGATGCCATTGAGATCGATGTTGACACCCTTACTGATTCCTATGGCAACGTGGTGATTGGTGGAATAATGGAGCATATCGAACAAGCTGGTGTGCACTCTGGTGACTCGGCTTGTATGCTTCCGACACAGACCATTCCACCCTCTTGTTTGGAAACGATCCGGTCATGGACCACCAAGTTGGCGAAGAAGCTAAATGTTTGTGGGCTGATGAACTGTCAGTACGCAATCACATCATCTGGAGATGTTTTCTTGCTGGAAGCCAATCCACGAGCTTCTCGTACTGTCCCTTTCGTCTCAAAAGCCATTGGACACCCTCTTGCCAAGTATGCAGCTCTGGTCATGTCTGGAATGTCTCTCAAAGATCTGGACTTTGAAGAAGAAGTCATCCCTAAACACATCTCTGTGAAAGAAGCTGTTTTCCCATTTGAGAAGTTCCAAGGGTGTGACGTGATACTTGGGCCGGAGATGAGAAGCACAGGAGAAGTGATGAGCATCAGTTCCGAGTTCGCAAGCGCCTTTGCAATGGCTCAGATCGCTGCAGGTCAGAAGCTACCTTTAACTGGTACTGTCTTCCTCAGCTTAAACGATATGACCAAACAGCACCTGGAGAAAATTGCTGTCTCCTTCCTAGACCTCGGGTTCAAGATCGTTGCTACATCCGGAACAGCTCATTTCCTGGAACTGAAAGGCATTCCTGTGGAGAGGGTGTTGAAGTTGCATGAAGGAAGACCACATGCTGCTGATATGGTGGCTAATGGTCAGATTCAACTGATGTTGATCACAAGCTCAGGTGATGCTCTTGATCAGAAAGATGGGAGACAGCTCAGACAAATGGCTTTAGCATACAAGGTCCCGGTTATTACCACTGTGGCTGGAGCATTGGCCACTGCTGAGGGAATCAAGAGCTTGAAGTCAAGTGCTATTAAAATGACCGCTCTTCAGGACTTCTTTGAGGTGAAGAATGAATCTTCTTTGCTCGTCTGAGTTGAGGTTTTATTTCTATGTTTGATCGTTTATGTGTGGAACTTTTACGACTTCAGTTAAATGTTAACGGATTTTGTTTTCTTATAAGCGTTTCTATGAATAATCTTCAAAGGTCGATTTATGAAATGCAGTGTAGGTGTCATTTGTTACTCGGCTTTGTTCCTGTGATATACAGGTCTTTGTTTTAATCAGATTCATCTCAAGTTCAATAGTGCTGTTAACATTTGTTAACATTTAGCTTGAATTTGTTGCCAACAAGAGTGACATTTTCTGTAGGCCTTAAAAGAACATAATTCTAGTAACGCATTAAGGCTTGAACTTGTGTTATGTTACAACAGTTTTGCTCTATGGTGCAGTTGAATGAACAAAGAACATAAACCATTTTAGTTATTATACATTGAGAGAAAAGTTCTTTGATTAGAGATAAAATCATAAGTCTGACAAATTTTTACATATGAAAGTCTCAACCATCCATCACAAACACAAACCATTCCTCACTCCCACTCGACTTCAAAAAGACAGAAGCAAATTACAAACTGATAAAACCTCGCTCACTTTCCGGGAACGAAGTTGGTGGCAAAGGCCCATGCGTTGTTGTTTACTGGATCAGCCAAATGGTCAGCAAGATTCTCCAATGGTCCCTTACCAGTGACAATAGCTTGAACAAAGAATCCAAACATAGAGAACATAGCCAATCTTCCGTTCTTGATCTCCTTCACCTTCAACTCTGCAAAGGCCTCTGGGTCGGTAGCTAGGCCCAATGGGTCGAAACTGCCACCAGGGTAAAGCAAATCCTCTGCCTCTCCCAATGGCCCATCTCCGGCAACTCTGTAACCTTCAACGGGTCCCATCAAGATCACTTGAGTAGCCCATATCGCCAAAATGCTCTGAGCGTGAACCAAGCTTGGGTTTCCCAAGTAATCAAGCCCTCCTTCGCTGAAGATCTGTGAACCCGCCTTGAACCAAACCGCCTCTCCAAACTTGACTCCGTTCATAGCCAACAACTCCGGGAAGACACAGCCTAGGGCTCCAAGCATAGCCCACCTGCAGTGGATAACTTCTAGCTCACGGTTCCTTGCGAATGTCTCAGGATCAGCTGAGAGACCGGCGGTGTCCCAACCGTAGTCTCCAGGGAACTCTCCCGTAAGGTAGCTTGGTGGCTCGCCAGAGAATGGACCCAAGTATTTGACTCTTTCGGCCCCGTACCACGGGCTTCCTGATGGTCCCTTTGGCTTGACGACAGTCTTCCTCATTGTCACACGGCCGCTTCCGAGGACTTCTGATGCCGCTGGAGAAAGCTTCACCGCCTTTCCGGCGAAGGCAGGGGAGGAGAGGGCCATTGTTGAAGAGGCCATTGAAGTTTTTTTTTTTTTTTTTTTCTTGGTGACTAACTTGTGAGTGAGAGTGATTGAAAACGTTAGGATATGTTTGGATTAAATAGAGATGTTGTGAGTAAGGTTTGTTATCTGTGAAATAATATTTATCTCGTTGCTCATTGGGTATTGAGATTCTGGTTTATCGTTTTATTGATCGTATGTGGCAGTCTCTAGTCCACTGACTTTTGCCTTGATCTTTCCTTCCAGCCAAAACATTCTGAGACCACAAGTTGTTTGAGTCGTCCTATACGGTAATACACTACCCTTGTGACCTAAATTTGTTTGAATTTTGTTAGTACTAAGAGAATAAAAGTTTGTGAAAAGTTAAGATTTAGAAAATTATTGATACTAGTGAAAGAATATTATAGAAAAGTAACAGTTTAAAAGCACTACCAGTCTATCATGTTACGATTATAAATATTAATATATTCGATTGTAAGTCATCACTACCAGTCTTACCAGTTACAGCATAAACAAGCATCGTTACTTTATCCAATAAAAGAGAAATCTCATGGACATCTTGAAACTCTTAGTTTTCATTGTTTTATCGATAGGCAAAGACTAAAGAAATGCTGAAACAGTATCTTCAGCTTGTTTATTCATCATCGTTGCTTTAGACAACAAGAAGCCATACTTCGGCTCTGTTTTTAATCATGATTGGAGTTGTTTATGTTGTAAACTACCTCAGCTTATATTAACTCAAACTGTCATCAGAAAACTAAAGTTTTGTAGAGAAAAGATAAATGGATCATAAAATTTTATCTTAGAGCGATCAATACTTGTGTCATGTAGCGGGTTTAAAGCTCTAAACACATAAACTCACACAAAAGGATCTATAATCACCATGCACACATGAATTTACTACTCTTTAGTCTTTAGTCATGGTGCACTTCTAAGATTTAAGCTGAAAGCTAGCAAAACAATGCATGTTCTCTTGTTCAAATTCTCTCAATCCTTTGGTACCTCAGACCAACATACATTCACTTATGCTCTAATCACCTATGTCCCACATATGGTTACGAATATTTTCTGTGAGATAGAAAATTTTATTTAATACATTCTATCACCTCGTCCACTTATGCCAAAAGCATTATCACTTCTGGACTAACATCCGGTTGAGAAGGGATTTGGTTTAGATGGTTTTGGGTGTATTTACGATTTAGAAGAAATTGGAATTGGCTCATAGTAGCATTTGGAAGAGAGGAAGGAGCCGACTTGTGGCTATGGCCATGACTCGTGGTTATGATTATGGTATTTTCTTATCTTATGATCACCATGACCATAATCAAGGCTTTAACCATTAAATTTTGATGAATATTGTGCTCAGCACTGGTTTGAGGATGGTATGACTTCATTTGCGAATATATGTTTTTGAGGTTTTAGTTACATTTCGCATAAGTTGAGATAATTATCTTGCTTTTACTTATAAGCAGTCAAAAGCTTAACATCTCCACTCTTTAGAATTTCTAGCTCAGACTTTTATCTACTTTGTTTTATTTGTCTATCTCTAGACAAGTGTCATTATTAATATTATAAAATGTTATATGACAAGTTTCAGAGGAAGAGCATCCATACAAAAGAAAATGTTAAATGAAAACGTGTTAGGGTCCGACTGGTTTCCCCGCTACCACCCGCAAACGCAGCTTTTGCGGTTAATGGCGGTTGGTAGCGTTTTGCAACAATCACAAAAACCACTACAAATCGCTTCAAACCGCTCCCAACCTCTTAAAATCAAAAGCTGGTTTCAGCTAGCGTTTGCGTTTGCGGGCGATTGCGGGTGGGTAAAAAACTATTTTTTAAAAATTTAAATTAAAATATAAAAATAAAAATAATATAACTAAAACTATATCTACCTTTTATTTTTT